GAGACCATCTCAAGACCAGACAAGAGACCATGCGTAAGACCAGACACAAGGAACAGGGTGAATAATGAATAAGGAATGCTTTTGCTGCAGTTCATTTGAATAGCTTGTGACTTGAAGTCAGACTGGAGGTCATGTGGGGTCTTGTGATGGTCTTGTGATGGTCTTGTGGGGTCTTGTGATGGTCTTGTGGGGTCTTGTGATGGTTTTGTGGGGTCTTGTGATTTTAGAGTGTCATTTGGGGAATCTTTTTCGTGTCCATTCTGCTATACAATAACTGTCTGTTACCTAACTTCTTTGGATAGATGCAAACTTTGACCCTCTGTGTGTTTTTGATTTTGGAAACCAGAGGAAGACTCTAATCTGATTATTTATGTCACAGTGTTTGAAGGGATTCAAAATTAACAGTGTTTCTGACAGGGAGTGAGTGTAGAAGATTGTTCCATGATATGAGTTTATGCTATTTTAATTGGAATTTCTTTTTTTACAAAGAGTTAGTAGGTGCTGTTACCAGGTTTTTGATAAGCAACGTACCATCATTTTGTTTGCAGCTTGTGGAAGGATTTGCGCTGACCCCTAACGATCGCATGATCCAGTCCTACGCCCGTCGTTTCTCCAGAGGTCGGGCCGACCGGCCGCTGTCCACCATGTCCAACTCTTCGACCTCCTCCGACACCCACGGGTCGCGCAGCAGCATTGTCTCCAACCCGGACATGATGTAAGTCCCTCCGATCCAAAGGAACACCAACCCTCTCACCCCCTCAGGCCTCTGTGCTGAGAACTTTCCTCCGAGGTTCTCCTTTGTGCAGTTTATTTTTGATCCGCCCTCAATCCTACGAAATCCCCTAAAATCTCCTCTTGGATCCTGAGGGGTAAGGCAGGGTTACGACAAACAAGAAATGTGCGTTGCAAGTTGGTTCTTATGCAGACTTCAAAACTTGTTGAATTTCCCAGACATATCAGGTTCATGAGAACTTACATCAACGCAAGCATATTGCGTTTCCCCATCCAGTCGTGGAACAACTCGAAATAAATTCCTCGCAGCCATTTGGGGAATGGACATTCTTCTTTTTTGTAGACCAAACAGGATGTTTCCCTGAGAGCAGTGTGATGTTGGACTTCTTGCATTGTCAAAACGTTAATAGAGTAGTGTTGGACTAATTATACTGAAATATTTATTTTCTGTGTTATGCAGTTTGTATCACACAAATCTCAAATATACATCTTGTTTTTTTTCATGTGTATTTTTGCTTTGTGAGTAAACTGTTTGATATTCAGACAGGCATTGAATTGATGAATGTTTCTATTCAGATTTTCCAAATCCATGATCTCAGATTCAAATTTGAAATCAATTGTTCCTGGTAATTTGCATCTGAACTAGACCAGTGTGTGAGTTGATTCCCCCGTGTGGGCTAGCGAGTTTGGTTGGTTGAGCACCGAATTTCCACTGGATGGGTCTTAGGTTCACATCCTGTACCAAGTGTCACCCGTTTAACCCCTCCCACCCACCCCTAAATTCAACCCTGTGTTCTTCTCCACACGCACCCTCCCCCAGGAGCTACTTGCAAATAGTCAGTTCCTCTGTGTCGCAGCACTGGAATTTTAACCTCTCCACGCCCCGACGCATGAGCGACTCAGCCACTTTTATCAAGGGGTAAAGTGAACCAACAACCAAATCTGCACATGAGACACACACAAAAATTATCCAAATATGCAGGACTTGTCATGCTGTGCCGTCCATTCCAACCACATACATCATCCAGGGCACTTGTAGATGGTTTTCTTTAGCAAACAAGCACTTTGATTGGGTTTCGGACCACTTTAACTTATCTCACACGGGGTTTGATTTTTTCCTAATCGATTGCTGTAAAGAGTGGTGTTTTTTTTTTCAGTTTATCTGCCATGATTTAAAAAATATTGCCCGTTCAAAGGTTATTTCTGTAAGTTTTTGTTTGGTGGGTTTCAAATTTTTATACAATTAAAATGCTATTGCTGATTATATTAATGGAGGCAGGATGCAATGAGTGTTCTAACGACTAATGAATTCAAATGGGGTCGCCAACAGACTTCCCAAAGTAATCAATATTGGTCTATTTTCACCCATTTTTGACTCTTGTCAAGTAGAAGGGGTACCTTATAAAAATTTCTTAATCAATTGCAGTAAGAATTTTTATTTTTTTGTTCATGTTGTCACCACCAGAGTGAAATATTTCCACATACATCACTTTCTGATGATGTCTGTCGGCTGATTTCATCAAATGATCTCTAACAGAGAAGAGAGAATAATATTTACAAGAGAACCAAATTCCTTTAAGTTTACCAACTTCGACATTACAGAGGCCTTTTAATAATAATAATAATAGAGGATATTTAGGCTTACATAGCGCACATATCCATCACAACTGATGCTCAAGGCACTATCATAATCATTATCCCTGCGCACTGGGCTCACAACAACTGAACATTCCTGAAACCATCTCAGCTCCCTGGGGAGTATACTTGCTAATGCTGCCATATCAGGACTACATGGCTAACCCAAACCCTAACCACTAGGCCACATGCCTCCTGTCTGCCCTCACAGGTACCCATTTACTCCTGGGTGGAGAGAGGCACATAGGGATGAAGTGACTTGCCCAGGATCACAACAAGCTGCCACCAGCTGGATTCGAACCCCTGCCCCTATGATCAGAAGCTACAAACCCTTACCACTAGACCACATGCCTCCTGTCTGCCCTCACAGGTACCCATTTACTCCTGGGTGGAGAGAGGCACATAGGGGTAAAGTGACTTGCCCAGGATCACAACAAGCTGCCACCAGCTGGATTCGAACCCCTGCCCCTATGATCAGAAGCTACAAACCCTTACCACTTTACCACATGCCTCCTGTCTGCCCTCACAGGTACCCATTTACTCCTGGGTGGAGAGAGGCACATAGGGGTAAAGTGGCTTCCCCAAGATCACAACATGCTGCCACCAGCTGGATTTGAACCCCTGACCCTTTGATCAGAAGCTACAAACCCTAACCACTAGACCACATGCCGTTATTATTTGAAAGTAAACCAAACTTTACTTACAAGCCTATTCCCACTTTCTCTCTGATGTCTAGAATTGCAGTGGTTTTGTTGTTTACATTTTTTCAACTGTCAAACCCTTCCATAAGTACTTTTTTTCACAAGACCATCCTAGTTGCGATTTGAGAGTGGGATAATACTGCCATTCCAAGCACCTGTCTAAATCAAGCACACACCCACACGTTGGTAACCTTTGTAATCACTGCTTCTTTTCTCTCACCGTCTCACCTCCTTCCCAGCGACACTTCATGTTTGGATGATGGGTAAGACAGTACTTGGTGGATGAGCTGGTACATGTATGCATTGAAGAAGAACCGGGCTGAGATTTTTAAGTTTTTGTGGTTGATTGGGAAGTCAAGTATGGTTTCTGTTTCGGTACTGTGCTTGTGGGTCTGGGCAGCTGCCATCTGGTCAGAGAACAGTCTATTTGTGTGTGCTTACAGCCAAAACACTTCACCAGGAAAAAGCTAATCCCTTGGACGTGATGTTGACTAAAGTTGGCGCAAAATGCAAACAAATGTCTCTGTTACAGTTAGAGATGTAGGCATTAGACATGTTTGTAGAAGGGAATTTTTGGTTGTTTTTCTTTTCTCTGGGGAATTTTTGTTTGTTTTTTCTTTTCTCTAATGCCCCCTTTTTGTTTTATTTTTGTTGTTGGTTGCTCCACTCCTTTGGAAAGAAGAAAGCAGACAAAGTATGGTGCCAGGCTGGTGGATTTTTACCCAAGAAAAAGTCATCATTTAAGAGTGCATACCTAGCTTAATTTCATCTTCGTTCTATCTCCACACCTGTCCATCAAACATGTTTGGATTTTTTCAAACTGTTCATTGACAAAGGAAATCCTACATGTTTATTCCTTTTTCCTTGTCATCACTTGCTGTTACCAGTTCACGTTTTACTTCATGTACTCTTTGAAAGCGATTTTACCAGAGTACGAGAATTTCCATCACAGCATCACGGTCATGATTCATGTCAAGTATCCATTACAGCACTAGCTTCTCTGAAATCGCTGCCTCTAAATCCACCACTTTCCATTCTTGTGAGGTTGTGCACATCTTAGCATCATTTCCATCAATTCAGGCATGAGTTGTCGATCTGTTAGCTCCATCCTTCACGTAAATACTTCAACTTTTTTGTGAATTTTCCTTTTTTGTTATTCTTCTTTTTGTTAAATTAAATAAATTTATTTTTATCGTTGGAGTGTCAATTTTTTTGCTTGGATTCTGTTACGGAGAACAGCCTTTCAAGTCAGTCAATTTCCCAACTCTCTTATGGTCATCAGCATCATGTCAGACCTCTCTTTTAAAAAGAAATTACCCGCTCAGTTAAATCATTTTGTAGCCTTTCTCTGTGGCAATACCTTTGAATGTCATGCATAAATGGGTTCAAGTGCGTAGAGCTCTTGAAGCCAACATCATTGCTAAGCACATTTCAGTGCCAGGTAAGACTGAGCAGAGTGCCAACCTCAATAAGCTCTGCATGGCACTTTTGCTGGTAACCAGTTTTCTCTATGCTAATATTTTCAGTGCTTACAAGCTCTCTATAACTTGTCTCTGGTCTGGTAGGTGGGCGTTACAGTGAGCACTGCACAAAAACAACCACCAAGGTAGTGTGCAGCCTACTCAAGCGAGGTCACAATGCGCCAAATGTCATTGTTGTCACTTACATTGACTTTGAGCTCAAGGTTTCTGGCTCCTGTTTTAACTACAGATATGCTTAAAATCTACAGAGCTTAAGTCTGGAGTTTGTCCATTTGGCTGGAGTGTCACTGGCATGTGGTTAATAGACCAAAAGATGAAGTCATAGTCAGAGATATACCAGTAGCCAAGATGTTTAAAAAGCCTCTGACTGTGGGCTTGAGTTCATCGGTTTGCCTTCACCAAACTGAAGGAGAATAAACACGCAGCAAAACTGAAAATGGTAGTGAAGTGCCGTGCCCACTGTATCCATTCCATTTTGGCCTCAAGAGGGCCTGTAGCGCACAAAGACTTGAAGCCACAACTTCCTTCCCCCCTCCTCCCGCAAACTAATGCCGATTCAGGCTCTTGATTTCTTACCGACCTCTCTGCTGGTCTTTGGCCATTCTCAGACAAGGAACGCCAAGCAGTAAGACCGGCCAGCACAAGGAGAAAGGGTCAGGCAGTCCAGCCAAACGGAACAGCAAAGACTTGTCGGCCGAAGACTCTGGCTCCAATGCCAGCACACCATCCAAGGAGGCAGCCAAACCAATCATCCTTGATGAGAAGGTTACATACATAGACACTTCTTAACGTTAGAATTGAATCCCAAACTAAACATTGTTTTTTTAATTTTCAAATGCAGTGTGTCTTCAGAAGTATCATTTTCAACTATGTTACTCATGGCTACCGCAAGTTTTTACTGTTTGTGGTAAAACAAAAAATCCACACAAACCACTGAATTCAAAATTTCTTGGAATTTTTGATCCTGCACAGATATCAAGTGCCAGGCCTCTTCGCAAGGACATGAAGAAAGCCAACGCCTCTCCCTTACCTAGGCCACTTAAAGCTATGTCCATGCATGTCCGTAAGTATTCATTGACGCCCGTGTCCTCACTCATCAAATCGTCGGTGTTTTACATTCCTTCCAAGCTCAGGATATTTGACCGACGACATTTAAACCCAGAGACAACTTCCGTGAGGTAATGTCAACTCCAAGAAAGCAGCTACTTTTACAGTTTGGTTTGAAAAGTAAAGAATACAAGCCTTGCAGGAGTTGATTTGATTCCAAAGTGATCATGACCGCAGTGTTCAAGGTTGGTGCAGTCATCATCACTTTAATGTTTGAGTGGAAACCATCTGTAGCTGCTCTTGTTTATCGGTACGTTTCCTTGTTGATTGTGCAGCCATGGTGACAACTTCCCCCAGTGATGAACCTGATCTGCCCCCTAAGCTGCCCCCGAAGCACGCCTACAGCGACTACTCCAGCCTGCCTCTCCTCGATGCGGGGCCCAGCCCGCTCCCGCCCAAGAAACTCAGCCTGCAGCTCGGTGCCTCACCACTCAGGGACAAGGTACAGACGACGACGGTCATGTCATCCAGGGACTCATCGGTGAATCTTTGTTGGTCTGAGAAAACTGGCGTTAAACTCGGCTTTCCTTGGCATGAAACGACTGAGAATATTTCCATTCCCCCCCCATAGGATGCCAGTCTGTCGCAGCTTGCTCCCCAGCTAATATCGTCACCTGTTTGTATTCCTGGGTGGAGAGAGGCCAGTCGGGGTGAAGTGACTAACTCAAGGCCACTACTTCTAGCCAGCCATTAGACTCAACGCTGGCCCCTCTGAGCATGAGACACAAGCCAAGCAAGTGCAGATGCAAAACGGGCGTTTCCCAATAGTGCGCCTCCAAAAGTTTGCAACTTGTGGGCCAGTCACAATGTGTGAAATCTGTCAACCCAATGCGCATTTGGAAAGGGTCAACAAATTTCACGCGTTGCGATTGGCCAATGCGTTTCAAACTCTTGGAGGCACACTATTGTGAATGACCCGTGTTATTGCTGGATGGCTGAACTTGTCCAACCCACCCACTTCAAATGCCACGTCCAGTTGTATTCACTTGTAACTAACATTCGTAACTTTTGATAAATGCTGTGGTGGGAAAAAAAAACACACTCTCTTGATTTCTGTTTCAGCCCCCTCCACTACCGGACAAGGAGACAAGCAGTACCACGACCCCAATGCCTCAGATGAAGGAACCTCTCCTAGTCCACGGATCACCGTCCAAAAAGCCCACCACCAACAATGCCCACTAGCAGTTGACCTTGACCAACCAGCATCAAAGCCCTCCAGCACACTGCTTTGATGAATTGACCCCAATCAGTGAGTCCTTTGGACATCCAAATAGTGCAGGTACAGTAATCTGGTGCGATATGCTAAGTTTCCAATAGTGCCATTCATTCGGTCTACCCATTCCGTAATCCGTACACATTCACCTTGCTGAGGGCAGTGTTGTAACGAGTCACTAAATTTAGTAACTCGAGCCGAGTCGAGTCTTTTTAACATTGTGACTCGAGTCAAGTCATTAGGTCAAGTAGTCAAGTCGAGTCACTGTAGTCGAGTCAAGTACCAAGCTTGAGTCAATATGAGTCACTAATTTTTGAAAAAATGCAGTAGAAACACAACTACATGTAAGTCATATTTTGGTATTTTTTATTTTCATTTAAACATACTGAAAATAAATTAGGGTGACAGGTATCTAGCTAACTAAAAGTTTGCTTTTAATTTTTTTGAGACTCAAGTCTTATAAGCTTGTACTCGAGTTCAGTCTCCATGAAAGATTCAAGTTGAGTCATTTAGTCACAGAGACTCAAGTCAAGCCGAGTCAATACTTGTCGGGACTCAAGTCGAGTCACCATAACTTTTGACTCGAGTCGGACCAAGAGTCATTACAACTCTTGAGGGCACCCTCATCTTTTCACTGTTACACTTGCACTATTGCCTGTACCTGCAGTTGTTGCAAGGTACCGATGAAGTTGATCCTGTCCTGCTCGTCGCACTCAGGAGAGTTGTGTGTGTCCTGTAAAAATCTTGGTATTTTTTTTCTACAGCCATATGCTGTAAGATTGTAAGGTTCAAATTATAACTCAATCTAAGAATCAGTGCGCATTTGTACTTAACACTAAAAGCAGTTACTGATGTGTTGAGGGAAAGGCAGTGATGTACTTGTACATCAGATATCCTTGAGAATTCTGTCTTTCCATGTTTGAATGTAAAGAAATCCTATGCACAAATTATTGAATGTCTGTAAGTAATTGCAATCATCGTGATCATGTTAGCATACTGGTGCTCAGTGCTCTCCAGAGGAGCCCACAAGTTTCCATTCAACCTGAGGTAGGTATCAGCCTTTTCTCTCGAGTCCCAGGCAATTAGAAAGGTCCATTCATCACCTTGCAATGTGTTTCACTAATAGCTATGTTGATAACTTGATTCAGTACTTAAGAAATCAGTTTCCGAAATTGATTGGAAACTGTTATTGGCCTGCGTGCTATTTATTTGGGTTTTTTCCTTAATTATTGGATGATTTTGTGAGTGTAAGAGTTGAAGTTGTGTGCCGGGGGAACAGTGTATAATCTTCTAGGCCAGTCGGCAAGATTTTGTTGTAAAACCCGGATGCTTGCTATGCCGACAGACCCATTTGGTGAACGTTACAAACTGTGAAGTGTACATCGGCTGTACAATCAGCCGTGTTGCACAGCTGTGTCTTCATGCTGACGTTCATTCTAATTCTGTTATGCCTTCGATTGGTAACAAAAAACGACAGAAAAATAGCTGGACTATTTGTTGCTTTCTGTTTGAAGGTATTTCATTGAGTTTCCTAGGCCGGATAACACGCCACTCTTTGTGATTACGATTGATTTGGCTGCTTGGATTAAGCTTGGCTCTTGTCTTTCCTTTCACAAGTTGTGATACGAGTTTTTCTGATGTAGAGGGGAAAAAAGAGAGAAGTTAGGGAGTAGAAAACAAGATGCACTCAGTAGGTTTGTGTTGCTGGTTTCTGTTGAGAATTATAATGCTAGGGAGTCACTGTTTTTGGTTTGTCAAGCATCTACATTATTAAGGCTGTGTAGGACTCTGGAAATTATAGGATTTTTTTTTTGTTTTTACAAAAATGGAATTTAAACAGTCCAAAAAGTAAAATGAAACAGAATTAATTAACCACATGATCAGTTGGTTTGGGTTTCGTTGGCTAAATAAACATCTGGTAAAATTGTTATTAATCCAGAAAAAAAATTGCTGCAGATCTTTCTTTTCTCTCTGAATGAAGTGTTTGGTTTGGTTTGGTTTCTCTTTTTAATCTGAGTTGTATGTCTTTTTTTCTGTTTTTGGTTTTTAACATAGTGTCTTCTGTACATACGAAAAGATGAAATATACCATAATTTGTTTTGGTTTGTGTTTGTGTAAATTATTGTAAATCGGGTAGAGACTATGTAAGCGTCACGTAGTGAGTAGTTGCAATAGGTGTGTATAACACTGGATATTGTATAATGAAGTCGGAACACTAGTTCTCAAAAGTACTTGATGATTTCTTCATTTAATACGTAATAATCTTGTTGATATACTGGCTCAGTTTTCTAACAAATGTCCAAAAGTTGTGATTCATAGGGTGTGATATTGCTCTCTCAGGTGTTTGTCGAGTATGATCTCGTGGAATAACATGAGAATTCGAACTCGCCCAAATCCATTCTCGAACTCAACTGCTGCTTTTTGTGAGGGAAAAGAGCACCCCACCCCCAACTCTTATTGTGCCAAATTTTCCTTGGAGACATAAGACAAAGTGTTCCTTTATTTGACTGAAAGTTCATTTCCCTTCTCCCTCCAGAGAGGAACGTTTGGGGGAGAGATGTTGAGAAATCTCTGGTTTTCTGATATGCATGTCATTGAAAGTCAATTATATCATTTTTCTCCTCTCCATACCTTTTTCCTCATGGACTGCATGTGTTCTTCTTTTTTAAAGTTATTAATTGGAATAATTGATCAGATTTAGAAATCTGCTGGGCGTGGGGCGTTAAGTGTTGGATGGGGTGGGGGGAATCAGTCTTTTTTCTCCCCTTATGGGTTGGTTTTTGACACCACCCTGACTCAAGTCCGTAATCAACTTGGCTTCAGCAGAGATCACTGTGTATAGTAATTTCTTTTGTACAATTATTTATGCTTTGATACTGTGATTATAGAGGTTAACAAGTATAGGATGCAGTTGACTTCAAATAATGCAAAGGGGGCTTGTGGGACAAGTAACAGGTTATGTTTTGCAACTGGTAAGAAGCCAGAGTCATTAACTGCTGGGCACTCAATTTATGCAAGCCCTGTCTACAATTATGCAAATGATACTACCGAAGCCACTCCCACTTGAAATTTACATATTCATCACTCTTGTGTCTGTTTCCCCGTGTCTGATTGTTTGCTTTCCAGTGTGGATTGTTTTCATTGGAATTAGAAATATGGTGCTTTTGTTTTAAATTTGAACCTCTTCACCCGCCATGGATCCTCATTGTACATGTACATGTAAAGTATCTCCCAAAACAGATCTTTGTTACGTAGGCATATTTTGTTTCAAAGTTGAAACCAAAGTTTTTATGTTCATTGCAGCTCAAGTTATCCATTAGTAACTGATACATTTGAAAACAAAACCAGCAACTTTCACACACGCGGTGCTTGTCTTTTTCCCCCACAACTATGCAGTGTATATTTTGAATATTTCTCATTTGTCCTGTCCGTAGGTCCCTTTTTAGCTTTTGCCAAGATCAAAGAAAAAGTGACTTTTTACGTATGAAATAACAATCCATTTTAAGTATCCGATCATGAATATTTGCCGTAGGTATCCTTGTTCCATTTTAATGCTTAATCCTACCAGTGTAATTTGACAAACAAGGAAATAGACACTGGATTACGAAAAAGGTACTTCCAATTTTTTTTAAATACAGCCATTCATTGCAAAAAAGCTGTTTTGACTAATTTCAAGCTTTTTGATGACTCATTATATGCATAGGTATTATGTACTGAATGATTGTATTTCATATTACACAATGTTTTATAAAAATAATTGTTCCAGAAACGAAGCTAGAGATGTTGTACTCTTTTTTTTTCCTTGGGCATTTATTTCTACTTTCTGTATCACTTTTCATGTTGTGGCTGTCACAGAGAACAAACCAAGATTCAGAAAAAAATTGGTATTTATTACCGAAAATCAACTAAGATAACTGGATGTATCTTGTGCAATGCCATTGGAGGTTTGCATCTGAAATTGCATCTGATCGCTAGTCCTCAAATTACATCAGTTTTATGGGTACTACTTTTAAAATGACAAATTCAGAAGTAAAGATAAACGTTTTTTCATGGCAGAGAGAACAAAAGAACAATCGTTGAACCATGCTTTACAAAACACTGTATGGACGTTGTCAATAGTTCATGCAGGTGGCCTGTTTGCAGGCAGTAAATGTTAGTTACACCACAGTAAAATATCAAAACTACTTTTGGTTTTGAAACATTCAGATTTGCAACATACCGAGAACAGTGCACAGCTTAAATTAATCTTGGATTTCCCTCTGAAAACTGTGAAAATTTCAGTGACATGTCTTATAAAGTTGAGCAAGAGAGGGCGGTTAACGTACATGTACTTTCTACAAAGCTCCACTCTGCACAAATGCTGGTTGCCTCCACCAGTGTATTTAAACTGACATCAACCTAAAATTCTCTCCATGCTAGTTGCAAAGAAGTACTCAAATGCATCAGCAAACAGACTGCTCATCCATGAAGCAGTAGAAATCAAAGAGTAAAAAAAGGGGAGTGGCCCTGTTGATGCTGACAACAAATCTCATCCCCTCCCTCCTATAAAAATCTAATTCACGACAGCAATCTTCTTGGAATATTCTTGGGAAAAAAACCTGTTAGCAAAAGGATAATATCCACCGATTATTCCTTGAACCATGCTTGCACAGACTGGTTTCCCTTATTTTCTCAGCCATAGAAACACTTCTCTTAACTTAAAAAACAGTCATGGTGGTTGCCAAAATTCATGGTGGTTGCCAAACTCCACTCCACCACACTTAAGATGTAGAGGCGACGTACGATTACGCCCCTTCCCTATACACAAGTTGAATTCTTGGACACAAAGGGCTGACGTCCTTGGGCAATGTTCCATTTTGGTTCCATTTTGATACATTTTTCTGCCCGTTTTTGATAACTGTTTACGACAAGCATCTTTGACGGTGTTCATTTTAACATATATAATCACATTTTATATCAACAATGTGAAAGCACCATACGTGAAACAGTAACATGGCCTAGTTAACACTACTTGGACTACAATTATAGGATGAATTAAAATAGAAATTATATAGTTACATTATACAATTGAAAATTCAACTAAAAGGACTACACGGCCCACTAAGCTTTAGCTACTTACAACATGGCAAAATACAGGAACAAGATGGTAATTCTTATAAAATAACCTATAGTATGTTCATAACGAAGGTACGATATGAATAGGGATCTGGTTTTAGATGCAAAATCAGAATCAGTCTCTTATTGGATTTGTTTCTTTGACTTGTTGGGCAGCCATACAGTAACACACCAACAAAAAGGGTGCCAAAATGTAGAAACCACCTGTTGAGTTTGACCTGAAAGTGACATCCTGAGATTGATGACCTAAACAACTGTAACTCTTCTCCAGGAGCCTATCTTTGTCTTTTACAAGATTTCTCCAAATAACTGCAATACTACCTTCATATTAAAGATATCAGAGAGCTTTTAACAATCATTCCATGATCCCTCCAGGTGTTCGGATATTAGTATCCACTGTTGACAAATTTGAATGACGTCCACAATTCTTTCTGTGGGACCTTTTACACATATGTGGAACTTTGTTAACTGAAGCGATGACGTCGTTCAAACCACTAGTTAGTCATTCTGTCCGTTACTGAAAGAAAAATGAGAGATAATGCATGTATTACTAAGACTATAGCCCACTGCAGCCTTGGCGAGAAATGACTGGGATTCGTGTCATTTGTGTTACAAACTGAACTGAAATAACCTGGAAAACTGGGTAATTTACACCTGAATTCTCTCCTTTTGCCGTTTGTTTGAAAATACTGCGTTTGTTTTGGTGTTTGGTTTTTTTAGGGGAGGGGGAATTTAGTTCAACTTTCAACTTGCGCATTAATCTGGTTCGTTGGGTTTTGTCATCCATCTCCCTGTGGCTTTCTGCACGACAGCTTAACTGCTTAGCTGATAAAGTTGGGTATGTTTGTCCGTGAGTTGGTTTGTTCTTGGTAGGTTGGTTTGTTTGCTTGTTTATTGGTTGCTTTTTTCTACAGTCTTACCATACTCGCAGTGGCCAATTGTGATGGTTCTGCCATAGTACAAGTCACACTCGATCAAGTTGTTCTCGTAATCCGACTCTGCCACTAGATTATCCGGATTGATATGTATCTGTGAGCAATAAAATTGTAGGGACGTATATTGTTTCCACAGCCAATCCATTTGGTGTCTGTACAGGTTAGTCGACATTTAGGTGTGGCAGATGGGCACGCCCTTCAACACACCTACCCTGATCAAGTACACAATCTTCTCGATATTATGTTATTCACTCTCTGGCATCAGGGTGGCGCCAGACTTGGGCATGGCATACGGGGCCACACCCTCCAACAAAACCTAGCCTAATCATGCACATTGTCTACAGATACCAGTGCCGTTCACTCACTGGTAATAGGTGGGGCTTGGCTCGGGTGTGGCAGCCAGGAGCCACACCCTCCCACAAAACCTACCCTGAGCGTGTACAGGTCGGTCCTGACCCCGGTGATATCCACCCACTGACAGTCAATGTTGCTGGCGTAGATATCAATGCAGTTGACCGAGATGCCTTGGTCGGTGTTACAGGAGAACTGGGGCGAGACACCGTCGTCGCAGTGCCCGTCCTCCAGGCAGAAGCTGGCCTTGTGACCCTGGGCTACCCTCTCCCCCTTTCTGTTGATCAGGTCGTAATGGCTGAACACCTCCATGCTGTGAAAATGCCTGAAGTGGGACACAATATGAAGCTGGCCTCAGATATCATCGAGTTCTAGGCGGGAAAACCATTTCCTTTTTATCAACTGTCCTTTCCTGTCATTTCTTTTTGGAACCTCTCTCTTTCCTTCACGTCTTGTAATTGTTTAGATAGCAAATCTAAGGGTTGATGAAAGGTGGTGTGCTGTCTTATTTGAAATTAAAAATAGATAGGTTTTTTAATTTCACTTAAATTAAAATGCAGTTTTTGGTTGGGGACATGTTCAAGTTACACTAGTGTTAATTTTATACATGTACTGGAAAGTTCAAGATAAAAATCGAAACATTTCGTTATCGGTTCTAGGTGAAACCCTTTCAAACCATCCAATTTCATAGTTTGTCTTGTCAATAAAATAGGCATCCAACAAGAATTTTGATCTCTTGTTCATTAATTTCACCTTTAAAACCCCTGAGGACCTTACCTGTGGCAGCTGTGCCATATCCAACTGTACCGAGACAAGAAGGGCCGAAACTGTTCCATGCCTCGGTTCATGATAGCACTGGTGAAGCGAAGCAGCCTTCGCAGACCCCAGTTATTGGGGACATCCGAGAGGCACCCTTCCTCGCGAGCGCATGTCATGAGGGACTCGGGCCAGTCCTGGACCCGGACGGACGACTGCAGAATGTGGAGATCCATGAGGATGTCCGGTAAGGCTGTGTGAGGGGAGTACATTAATGAGAGAGAGGTTACCGATGGGTGCAGCAGAAATGACCAGGGCTTGCAGCAACACAGGCAGGCAACGTCGGCCGCTTGAGAAACGTGCGCAGCATGCAACTCCAGTCACTGTCGCCTAAAGCGTCAGGAATTGGCACGAAACAGTAGCCCTAACTAGGAGTCCCAAAGCAGCGCAGCTAGCAGTGACGACACGAGCAACGGGACCACATGGGTGTCAGTACCCAGCAAGAGTAATGACAGCTAATGCAACGATTGCCTCAGTCTCAGTCCCTGCTGGCATACTACCCAAAGGAATGACAGCGTGAACCGTTTTATCAGCATGAGCCTTTGCCTCAATCAGCAACACTGTGTTGCTAGGACTAGTTCACTTGAGAGCAAAACTCGGCCCAATTTCCGTCTAAAATCTTTCTTAGTTGAAAGATATACACTTTTCCCCTCCATTTTCCCCTCTTAAAACTGACTTATTCGAGTCAGTGTGTTTAATAATCAGGCCGGTTTTGAAACTACAAAATTTTCCCGCACTAAAACACGCCCCCATATAATTTCAAGTCGATCTTACTGTCGACGCAGACGACCCCGGCTCGAAACGCCCGTATGCAGGTGTCGGTGTTGGAGGGACGCGTGTACTTGCACTCTTTGATGGTTCTCTCGTTGCCTGTACACTGGACGTCCAACATGAGGAAATTTCTCTTGGCTGCAGACCCGTAAGATAAAGTACTCTGGGAAAAAGTTTACACAGAAAAAATTGTATGTAAGAATGATGATTCCTTCGCAAGACTGCTTTTAAAATGATGAAATAGCCTACGATTTCAAGTAGTGATATTCTGGCTTTATGAGTCTCGATCTGTCAAGTTGTTTAAGATCTGTCTTTTTAGGCTCATCGAAATGAATAGAAAAGTAACCAATATTGAAAACATGGCTTTTTTTTCAAAAGTTCCTATGCTTTATACGGATGATCTTTCATGTCCCAAATTAAAACTACGGTCACTACACAAAATCTCATAAAACTTCATCGATTCTTAATTTTAGGGAAAGGAAGGTGTAAACACCAGTCTCCTGGGAATAAACTGTTCCACCAGACTCACTTCGGGTGCGTAGCGAGCGTGTCCCATCCCCAGCTGTCGGCAAACCACCTTTCCAGCCAGGAGCCCCCAGTTCGCCCCGCAGATGTTGCCCCATTCCCCGTTGACGTAGACAGCCACCCGCCCCTCCCTCTCGTAGGTACCCCCTTCCAGCCTGACCTGGGATTGAGAATGTACAGCATCATCACTTTCACGTGGATGAAGCAGAACTTGAAGAGAAACTAGTGAGAAGTGAGTGCACTGTCGAGCATTGGTAATGCTCGTGTACCTTGCTGGCGGCGTCGATATCGGGTACCACGCAGCGCACGCTAGCATCCTGGGCGTGAGTGCACCTGCTACCGTTCAGATAGCCGTGGCTGCAGTCAAGGAGCGTCTTCTCGTGTCCCTCGCACCGAACGCGCCAAAGCCAGATTGGGCCAACACCTATAGAAAAATAGAAACAGATGAGGCAAAAAAATTGCAAAATCGTGGAATAAATCTTCAAGTCACAAGCAACAAAATGGTTTCATTCGTGAGGAAAGAGGCGTGCATGACAGAAATTGAAGAGAAGAATCATCAATCACCGAATATTATTGTCTTGAAGGCTACTTCAGTATTTTGGAAGGGTCGCTGGCAGATTTAACTGTTTGAGTCTTTCTGTGCCTGACTTTACCATAAAAAAGTCGTAGACTTTCTCTGGGAATATGCTAAGGCATGTTTATTATATACATGTACATTAAACTTGTAACAGACAGTCAAAAAGATGACAATGTACAATTTCATGAAATAATAAAAAGAGAAGAAAAAAACCAGAAAAATTACTAGATACAGAACACTGTGATTCCTTTTTTCACATCATCAGAAACATAAAAATAAATTGGATATTATCATAAATTGTTAAAATTGTTCTTAATCTTGAAAACCAAACACAATCCAACACACATAAATAAAAGCTCAAAATGTAGCACGACAAATCTCATTTTTAAGCTAAGAAAATCTACAGAAAAATGGTAAATTAAAATTTCATAAAACACTTTCTTTGGGTATCTGTTTGGCCTACCTTGTCCGAACTCCGAGTTGGGTATAGCCTCCTTAGCTACCCCGAACCCGAGTTGTCGGCAGGCCACACTGGCGCTAACCTCGTCCCATCCCTCGCTGCAGACGGTCCCCCAGTATCCATTGACGTGCACCTCTACCCGGCCCTCGCCGTAGTTAGCCCCGGACTTCAGCCGGATGGTGGGCTTTTGTTTCCAAACCTAGGTTGTAAAATAACGATGTCTGTATTCACTTCTCTTTTCAAACTTTAGCGATAGGCGTACCGGCACTAAAATGTGACGGTAAACCAAATTATCTGCATTTCCTTAACAGGCAAATCAAATTCAATTTGATTCCATTTTTGGACGTGAATGACCCTACTGTAATAAAACACAAAACACAATTCGGTCGCTTTGCCATTCGTTCAGAGATTAGATGCCGGACGCCGGATGCTTCTAAGTTCTAAGAGACACCTTGAAGAGCAATCTTTACCCTTGGTGCCGCCTGTTTCTTTGCCGGTTTTTTATTCCTCCCCTTTCTTCTCTGCGCTTGCTCGGTATCGTCGTTCAGGACTTCCGGAGCCTCCGTAGCAGGCATGTCCGCTTCGGGTAACGTGGCGGTGGTATTCATCCATTGGTCACCGCCTGAATCCGTGCTGGTGTCTCCTTCATCACCCGCTGACACCACCTCAACAGGTTGTTCTGCCGCTTGCTCGTCACTTTCCTCCGCCGTACTCTCCAGGGGTTCTCCGCTCTCGTCGTAGGGGGTGTCGAGCACAAAGTCTCCGCGGTGGCAGCGAGCGTGGGCCACCGCGTCGGACAGGCAGTCCTCTGCGTCTTCCAGGTCGTCGAAGGGGCAGGTTCCGATGATGACTTCAGATCCTGTGCATTGGAAGTTGCTGAACCGCATGCTTTTTGGCCGCTTGAAATCTTTCCTGGCAGGTAGTTGGAGCGAAAATGTTTAGAGAGTGACATTCAGGTACAGAATAAAATCTTGTGGTTATTCAACAAGCCTTTCACTGCTGAAGTTTTCTTTTCTCGATGAGAAATATTTCCATTTGAGGAATTTTTCCCTTTAAATCCATGGTTAACCGCAAAGCTTGAACTTTACAAGGTAGTCTGTTGATAACCGCACGGTAAGTACTCCAGGTCGTCGTGTGCCTACCTTTTTCACTAGAACAAAATAAAGAGCGTTAAGGGCTGAATGGAGGTTAAATTGTTCATTGAGAACATGCATGTATCTGCTTCACACTGACTGTCGTTTTCTCAGTAGAAACGACTTCACATTTAGTCTTGTAATCAGGTATACTGTTTCGACCATTTATTTATCAAATGCTGGGATCGTAAATAATGAGGTATCTCTTTCGTAGCCGTGTGGATCCTACTTACGACTCTTCGTAACCTTCGTTCAGCGGCAGCGAGTCTTTGAAGCCGAGCATGCCACACACTACCCGTGAGTCCTGGGTATCCCAACCCTCCCCGCACACGGTGCGCCACTTGCCCTTGTAGAAGAGCTCCACCACGCCCTCTGAGATGGGTCGGAGCTTGGACCTTCCCACAAGGCGAGCTTTTATCTGTTTCCTTTCCTGGAAGTATAAAGCGACCGACCGGATTAGCGCTTTGGCAAGGGAAACAAGAGCGCCACGGTGGGTGGAAAACAATGTAGTCATTTCCAGTCGCAATTCAGCGCCATGTCGCCTTATGATAATCAAATACAATTCTCCCCACATAATTTTTTTTGTTCTTTTTGACCCCATTAATATAGTCTACTTGTATTAAGCCTAGATACAGGACCATCACTGTTTAGACCCATGTAGAAAGGCACCTGCCAAAACAAATGGGTATGTGACTAGATAGAGAACCATTACTGTGTGAACCCATGTGCAAAGATACATCAATGACTGATGGGTGTGTGACTAGACACAGGAATATCACTAACTGGACCCATGTAGAAAGACACGCCAATAACAGATGGGTGTGTGGATAGACACAGGACCATCATTGTGTGGACCCATGTAGAAAGAGATGCCAATAACAGATGGGTGTACGACTAGACACAGGACCATCACTGTGTGGACCCATGTAGAAAGACGTGCCAATAACAGA